GGGGGGGGTATGGGCAGTAAGATGGGGTTGACCATCTCCAGAAGAGGGGATGACAACAGTGGGAGTCACCTGCATTTGATGGGGTTGATAATCTCCAGGAGGGGCGGGGGGGGTATGTGCAGTACGATGGGGCTGATGATCTCCAGGAGCAGGTGGCAACGACAGAGGGGCCGCTGGATTTGACCATCTCCAGCGGAGGGGGTGACAACAGTGAGGCAGCTGGGGTTTGGGGGTTGGGTTGGGAAGGGAAAGCATGTAGGGAGTGGGCTGGGCGGGGGGGTACGGCGGGATAGTGGTAGGGGGGTTGGGGAGGTGTGGCACAGTCATGCACGCCATCCACAGGGTCGGTGCTGTGATGTTAACTTTTTTAGAGTTCATTTCCGATTTGTAGAGAAGGGACATTCCTTGGCGATGGCTGTGCCGGCCAGAAATTTCACCCAGGTTTGCGCCCACCCCCCTGGGCGAGAGAAGGTTAACAGAGGCCTAAATTTTTGGCGGGGGCGGTTCATGGTCTTTATGAGAAACCTCTCGCACCTTTCGAGCCCAAACTTGTCACCAGTCCATAAAGGGAACCATGGAGACCTGCTAGGATTTGCCAAATGCTGTGGTGGTGATCTGTGCTGTTTAAGGGTCAAGGCTGCAGGGGGTTGTGCGGATGTTGCATGACCTGCAAATGGGCTATGGGGGTAATATGGGGTGATGCCCCCCGCACACCTGGCCCCCAAACAGGGAACACACAGGCCAGGGGTGGACATACCTGCTGTGGCAGCTATCCCTGTGCTTAGGAAATGTAGGTTACGGCCGTTCAAATGGAACAAGGGCTCTAACAGGTCCGGACCAGTGAACAACGGCTGTGTGTTTGCCCAGCCACTTTCTGGATGCAGTCATGTGTTCCGGCATGCTTTTCGGGCCCAGAGCTGTATGGCCCAATAGAGATCTGGTCGGACCTCCATGGGATGAAGATTTGTAGCCAGACACGGTGAGACACCGATGACCAGCTAGCCATGGGGAAAACAAAATGGACGGCGGTCGGTCCTAAATGCTGTCCAAGAGACTGCCAGCACTCTCAAAGTCTCTGGCCATATGGCGGCCACTACCCAGGCAGGTGTTTTGTGTGGCTGCCTGGTTTTGCTGTTGCACCACACCATTGTGGTATCGCTACTGCATGGTTTGAGCGTGTGGGGCTGGTACCAGCTGTGGCAGAGTTATGCATGGCACGTACTGAGGTTCAGAGCTCCTAATGTGTGTGCCCGTGTGTGTGTTGTCATATTCGCTATACACTCAGAAAAAGCACGACTGTGCCGAAGAGACTGTTTCGTCGGACTTTCACCGACTCATCAGGAGGTTGAACCCCGGCAGTCTGCCCAGGATGCATTTGCCTGATCGATAAAGATTTTCACTACATCGCCCAGGGTTAGCGATACCCCTGAGAGAGAAAAGTGGTCGACTTTACTCACACCAACCCTGCAATTCTAGCAGACTGCCGGTCCAAACCCCCGACAAGAACGGCCCCCATGTGTGTGTGTGTGTGTGTTAGAGAGAGAGAGAGAGGGTGAGAGAGAGGGTGAGTCGGAGGAGCAAGGGTGTAACGCTGGGCATGCGTGGTTGATCGGGTGTGTGAAACTGGGCTTATGCATTTGAGTATGTGAGAGAGAGAGAGAGAGAGAGAGAGAGAGAGAGAGAGAGAGAGAGAGAGAGAGAGAGGTGACGAGTTGGAGCAGCAAGGGGTGTAATGGTGGGCTTGTAAGAGAGAGAGAGAAAGAGAGAGAGAGGTGATGAGTTGGAGCAGCAAGGGGTGTTTTAATGGTGGGCGTGTGTGCTTGATCAGGGAATGTGTACCATAGACAGAGGGAGAGAGCGAGGGTGGGGGTGGTGGTGGGAGGGGAGTGGACCCTGTCAAGGGCTGCAGTACTCAGTGTATGCTGTTTTTATAGCCTCGTAGGCTAGACTACCAAAGTGACCCGGGACCATTTACCCGGCTGGACAAAAAAAGGGAAAAAAAAGGTGAAAAATTTTGTTGTGACCCTGAGGCAAACGTTGTTGAGTTTATTTTCCTGCATTACATAGTTTTTTCAGATTTTTCAGATTTTTCTTGCTGGGACCTTCCCTGGTCCTTGACCGGGCAGGCCACCCGGGAACACAAGGTGACCTCGGCGGCCCGGCCCGGCTGGTAGCCTAGCTCATTGGTCAGACTCAGCGGGAGTTTAATATTTGTTGTGCCGTATTCGTTTTCTCAAGGGTGCGTTGTGGCGATTTATTCTCTGACATGGTGGGGATGATGTCTTGCTGCATTTTGCCGCTCTTTGAGAGGAGATAACACAAGTCTTTGATTGTTCTCTTATTGGTTGCGATGGCCTCTGGCTTCATATTTTGCAGGAGTACGCAGTCGCAGTGTGTAACCGTATCTGCATCTGGGTAAGGGAGAACGAATGTGATGTGTTTTTGGTCAGTAATAATGGCCCTATGACCTGGTGAAATAATTTTTTCAATTTAGTGCCCTGTCATTTTTTAAATGAGCGGACAACCGCAAAAGGGAATGGAGAGAGAGAAGAGGAAATGTGGAGAAGCAGACAGCAATTGCTGACGCCAATGATGCTCGTTGTGGTGCACGAGTCCATCTGTTGGTTCGTTCGATGGGAAGGAGACGAGGAGACCGTGATGCCGCTCTCGAGTAATTGGCGAAGTTGGCGCATCGACCAAGTCGTGACTTTGTTTACTGGTGTCATATTATATGGCCAGCCTGAGTGAAGTGTTTCTCGAACGGTGCGGCAAAATTACACAGGCCAATTCTGCACTTCAATCAAGCCATTTCTTGATTTGTGACGTTCGTTTGTTGCAACACCATCGATTACGCCCTGAAGCATCAGCTTCCCCCTGCAAGTTTATCGTCATTTAACCATCCTCTATGCCCTGAAGCATCAGCTTCCCCCTGCAAGTTTATCGTCATTTAACCATCCTCTATGCATGGCAGGCGAGTATGCAGGCAGGCAGGCAGGCAGGCAGAGATTACCTCAGCAGGCAGGAGGAGATAGTCGCCTGTCGGCATGAATGAACAGAGAGCCCTGTCTGGGGTGAAGGTTGAGGCATGACATTGGGACGACTCAATCGTCCGGTCGAGAAAGGGTGGTAGCCAGTGACAGGCCCCGAAGTGAGGGGGCGAGCACCCCTTCCTTGGAAGGATAACTTGCTTAATAGAGTTGTTGGACATATAGATCATGGAAGATGTTCTCCGATTGTGGTCGTGTTTGTGAGAAGAGGCGGCGGATGTTTAGGTGCATTGACTCGTCCTTGACAAGTCGATCAGGTGCAAGAAGGGGCAGTTATAGCCGCTGTTTGGTCCAAAGTGAGGAGGAAATGCACCCTCTCTTGTTGGAAGGACAATGAGAGGTCAGGAGGAGGGTCGCTGGACGTATGGAGCATAGAAGACATTACTTTGATCCTCATCTAGTTGTCGGGTTTGTGGGAAGAGGAGGTGGGTCCGACTCCTGCATTTCAGCGACGGTCGCATCCGAGCGATCGTCCTCGAGGAGTCAGACTCACCTCATCTAGTTGTTGGGTTTGTGGGAAGAGGAGGAAGAGGATGAGGTGGGTCCGACTCCTCAAGGACGGTCGCTCGGGTGCGACCGTCGCCGAAATAAAGGAACGTGTTGCTTGGCGCCGTTGGCGGGACTTCACAATGGCGCAGGCACGGCAAGAAAGCAATCAGGCGTGACGAAGATGGAGGGATTGGACACAACATTACGGCAATGCTGCTGAAGGAAGCATCGATACGAGGGGATGCTATGGAAGAAAGCATATATACGAGAGGATGCTGATGCTATTGAAGGAAGCATCTATACGAGGGGATGCCGATGCTAATGAAGGAAGCATCTATACGAGGGGATGCGGATGCTAATGAAGGAAGCATCTATACGAGGGGATGCTGATGCTATTGAAGGAAGCATCTATACAAGGGGATGCTATTGAAGGAAGCGTCTATACGAGGGGATGCTATTGAAGGATGACAAACAGTTGCATTTGGGCAAAAGGACAGAATTGCCAAAGAAATGGGAGAAAAGTATATAGAGGACTTCCTACCCCCTTAGCTGGAGTTTTTTTGTCTGTCACATGTGCTGGTGCACGTTACGGACTCTAAATGTTTATTCACTTATATTCATCTTACCAGCACCGCTCTTGTTGGGAGGGGATCTCCCTTTTCTCTCGTCTCTTCCGTCATGTTTCTTTGTCTAATGAAGTCTATCCCCCATCCCCTTTTTGTGCGCAAGTGAGCATTGTTTCCTGTCTTGGCTATTCTGCCTCTGCCACTCCGCATAAAATATTGAGCATTTGTTTGTTTCCCTCATGGTTCTTTGCACTCTCTCGTCGTTACGAAATATCACGTAAATTAGTAATTACTAATTACTAAATTTTGATTCTAAGAATTCTCTGATATTCTTTGTTTCAAGAACTGTTTTTAAATTGATCGATCATTTAGAGGTCTTGAGAGTCGCATTCGGAAAAATAATAAAATATCCAGTTATGCTGGAATGTAGGATTTGAGTCTACAACAGAGTCCAAAAGTTCCAAAAACAAAATAAGAATGAACTTGAGTTACAACAAGATTGTATCATGGGTTTGAAATTTGAAATTTGAAATTTGAAATTTGAATCCCATTTTGAATCCCATTCCTATGCTGTTTGCTCAACTTGACTGTCCTTGGGGACATCCGTTAAAATGGGAACAATGCAGAGAAGGGTAATTAGCATGGCGCCTGGGTAGGCCCTATCCTGTCGTAGGGGCTCGCGAGAGGTATGGCTGGCGCACTCGGCCGCAGCGGCTTGCGGAAGCTCCATGTGTATTCGCGACGAGGATT